TTGAGGTCCTCCATTATGTCATATCAGTGCTTATCTGATTTTTCATATCTATTAGTATTTGTTGTATACAGTTGCAGGTGCCAGTATTTGGTGCATATAAATTTATGACTGTTATATCTTCTTGGATTTTCCTTTAGCAAATGTGTAGTGGCTTAGTCTCTTCTAATCACTCTTGGCTTGAAATCCACTTTATATGCAAATAGAACAGCTATTCATACTATTTTTTCAGTTTCCTGTTGCATAGAGTACTGTTTATAGTGTTTGTTTCCAGTCTATAAATTTCTTTTTGAGTTAAATGTGATTTTTGTAAGCAGTGTATTGTTAGATCTTGTTCTTGATCCAATCTTCAAACCTGTTTCTTTTGATTGGTGAACTGAGACCATTTACACTGATGGTTATAACTGATATTCATTGATTTATCCTTGTCATGTTATTTTTCTGTTGTTGGTTCTCTGTCTTTTCTTTCTATTTAATTGCTTACCTTATCTGGTGGATTCATTCTTTTGGAATTCTTGAAATTTTAGTTGTCTTCATTTTCTTTTTCTAGAACATGCTTTAGAACCTTTTGGAGTCCTGGTTTAGTGGTCATGAATTTCTTCAGGTGTCTTTTTTCATCATGGAAATATTTTATTTCTCCATCAATTTTGAAAGATAACTTTGTGAGGTACATTAACCTCACTTGGTGGTTTTTTTAAAGGCTTGAAACACTTCACTCCAAACTTCCCTTGACCTCGGCATTTGTGTTGAGAAGTCTTTTGTGATTCTGATGGGTTTTCCTTTATATGTGATTTGTTTCTTTTCTCTAACAGCCTTTTAACATCTGTCCTTGTGCTGAATTCCTAGAATCTTGACTATTATATTACATGGTGAAGTTTTTATTGCCTTTTGAGACAGGGTCTCACTATGAAGTTCAAGCTGGCTTTGTGCTTTCTTTGTAGCCCAGGCTGATCTTGAACTTACAACAGTCCTCTTGCCTCAGGCTCTCAAGTGCTGGGATTACAGGCATGTGCCCAGATTTTCTGATCATAGTTATTTGAGGTCTGTATGCTTTAGTTATGTATATTTCAAATTCTTTACCTATATTTGGAAGGTTTTCTGCTTACTTCTGTGGTCAACTTTTTAAATGTCCTTTGTGCTATCTTCTGATTTTTCATTGATTCCAATTATTTTTCTTGGCGTTATCTAGCAATTGTTGGGTTAATTTTTTGTGAACCCTAGATATTTTTAAGAAAGTTTTCATTTGATGATTGAAAGTTGTAACCTGTCTCTCTATCTGATATACTGGCTTCACATTGGTTGATTTTGCTGTGTGTACTTTCAATAAAATTTATAATCTTCTGGATATTTGTTTGAATCTGTTTTATGGCATTTTACTCTTTCCTATGTTGAACATTCATAGTTTCTCTGCCTTTTCTATGCTCCTCTATTTTCCTTTATCTGTGTCTACTCTAGTTTATTTCACTATGGTCCTGACTTATTTAATTATTTCATTATTAATAATTTTGTTTAGTTATTTCATTTTTGGTTTTGTCAAGAGAGTTTTTTTAGCCATTTTCATAATTCTACTATGACAATTTCAAAATGTTCAGCTGGGTGATTTTTGATTTTTTTTACCTTTTCCACCTTGGATTTCCTTGGGTGAAGTTTTGGTATTGGGTTGCATCCTACGGTCACGTTTCCTCATTTTATTGTTTTTATTGTTATTTACTTGTTTTCTGCATTAAGACTTGTAAATTACTCAGGGTAGGTAGCTTTATTTCTAGTATCAAGACCTCCTGGGAAATAACTACTTTTCCAAGATATCATCTAGGAATAGCTGGCTTCTGGACTTTGAGTCTGTCCCAGGATTGCCTTTCTTCTGTTTATTAGGGATGAAAGGATACAGACTATTTGGTCTTGTACTCAACTCTTTGGCACTGGGCTAGAGTATTGTTTATGGTCCCCAGACTATCTAGGTATTGACATGCAAGGAAGATTAATTGATCACAACAGCTAAGTCACCTTGGCTAAAGTAGTACAATCAGCAGTAACAAGGACTAGAAAATGACAAACTGTGGATGACTAAAATTTGCCACCTTTAACCATAGGTGCAAAATTTATATTTGTGTAACAAAATCTAAGATAAATCAGAAAATTATATACAGTAAATATTCACTCACTAGAGAAATTTTACTGTAAGTGGAGAAAATTTCAAAGATAGAAGAGTAAAACACAGAAATGAAAAAAGAAAAAGATTAGAAGTAAGACTGAAGCACAAAGAAAGACTACCCAAGCCTCAGGAAACTGATGAAGAGGAGAGAGGGAATGAAAGCCAAAATAAGACTAAAAACAAGACAAAACAGAACAAAAACTTAAAAGCAATGCACTCATCCCCCCAAAGAACAAAAAGGAAAAAAGACCAATATCAGAAAGAGAGAGAGAGAGACTGAGAGAGAGAGAGAGACAGAGAGAGAGAGATAGAGAGAGAGACAGAGAGAGAGAGAGGGAGAGAGAGAGACTGAGAGAGAGAGAGGAGAGAGAGAGAGAGGGAGAGAGACTGAGAGAGAGAGAGAGAGGAGAGAGAGAGAGAGAGAGAGAGAGAGAGAGGGAGAGAGAGAGTTCTGTGATTTCAAGTTTGTGGTCATCTTGTGGGTTCTGTAGTTATGTAGCAGTGTCCAATTCAAGGCCTGACTCTACCTTCAGTGGTAGACAAGGGAGGCGGTCAGATCCTAGACCCACGCTGGATAATCCCAGCAAACTGGCAGTAGGATTAGGACAGTACGCCACGTGTCACTTTCAAATCCACAAATTTAGGCTGAACCAGGTCTCAGATCAAGGGAGCTGGGCCTATGTCATTTAGCTTATAATACTCTGGGTATCTCTTGCCATGCTGACCACAGATCCCTGACCATGGGCATCCCTCTCACAGTCACTGTGGGAGTTTAAACTGGAAGATGAAGCCAACCCAGGATCCTCTGAGTCTCAGTTTTAGTTGGCTTCTCCCTAAAATGACATCAAACCAGGTATCTGCTCCAAGATATATAGAAGATACTTGGGCTGGAGTCATTCACCAGATGTTGTAATGCATGGCATTTGCCACTCCATTCCATTATTGCATTTCTGTCCGAAAGCTTCTGGAGTCACACACTTTCATTGTTTTGTAGTTTCAATCCCCCTTTCTCTTGCCATAAGCCAGGAGCTGGGGGAGAAGTGCAGATTGTCTCTTTTTCTGCATTGTGGCCTCTGTAGGATCCAATTTTCCCCTCAGATTTCTTCCTTGGTCTCAGGAATCCACCTCACTCTTCCTTTTCTTCCCCAGTTTGTTATTTTCTAGTGTCTGAATTCCAAACCTTGGAGAGGCTTACTTATTTCTTATTACCGCTCCAACTATCTTTCCAGATGTCCTGACTCATTTATCTTTATGTCAGAGTAATACTCCAATATGTATAAATACCACATTTTCTCTTTTTAAAATGTTACTGTTTCTATCAACATGTATTTACTAGAAGCTATTGAGTTCATAATATAACATTGTGCTATGATTTTTTAAATTTTAATTTTTATACCATGAGTGTAGTACATGTTTACATTTCTTGCAGAGAGTTGGTACATGTATGTAACACATAGTTATTTCTTTTTTCATCCCCATTCCCTTCCCTCCCTCCTTCTTCTTCTACCAATTTCTTGATCCCTTTACTTTTTTCTATTTTGTACATGTTTGCAGTACATGTTTACATTACCTTGTGGCATTTGTATATGTATAAAATACATCCCAATTTCTTTTCTTGTGTATTCCTTATCTCTTCCCTCCTCCAGTCCTCCATCTCTGGATTTCTTTCTTTGAGAATGAACCATCTCCCTAATTCCACCATCTTTTATTGTGCTCTTTATTTTTACTCTAGGTTCTCATATAAGAGAAACCATATGATATCTAAGCTCATATATCTGATTTATTTCACTTAACATGATCTCAAGGTGCATTCATTTTTCTACAAATAACTCGTTTATCTTTATTTATGGCAAAGCAGTACCCTATTATACATAAATCACACATTCTTATTTCATCTGCTGATGGACAGATGGGCTATTTCCAAGACTTAGCTATTATGAATTGTGCTGCTATAAACACAAGTATGCATGTATTTCTGTAATATCATGTGTTCAGGAAGATACCAAGAAAGAGCTTACCCAGGTCAAATGGAACTTCCAGTTTTTGAGGAATCTCCATATTAATTTCAATAGTCTTTATACTACTTTACTTTCCCACCAACAGTGTAGAAAGATTTGAAGTCTCTCCAGGGTTTGTTATTTGATTTGTTGATGGTCATTCCTTTTGTATCAAGATGTGTTCTCAGTGTTGTTTTAATTTGTATTTTTCTAATTGCCAGAGATGTGGAGCATTTTTTCATGTATTTATTGGCCATTTGTACTTCTGTGATATGTTTATTCAGCTGCCCATTTTTGATTGGGTCTTTTATTTTGGGTGGTCTAAATTTTTGAATTCTTTATATATTCTTATGTATTCTATTTATTAGCCCTCTGTCTGAGGAGTAGGTGGCATGAATATTATTCCATTGTGTAGCTTGTTTCTTCATCCTGTTGATTGTCTTCTTTGCTGTGTAAGTTTTTTTAAAAAATTTGGATATGATACTATTTGTCGATTCTTGATTTTTTTTTCTTACACAGTTGGGGTTCTGTTCAGAAAGTCTATGCCTATGTCTTCAAGAATATTTCCTATTTTATCGTCTAGCAGACTAAGTGTTTCTGCTTTTTTGTTTTTTGAAAGTGAGTTTTTCGAGATTTTTTTTCTTTCTTTCCGCGCGCTTTCCTAGCTGCCCTTTGGTCGCATTTGGAGGCGCGCGGCACGCAGCCCGGTGGCAGAGGACCCGGGGTTTCGCTGTGTGCAGAGGGAGTCTTCTGAGTGCTGATATTGTGTACCTCAAAAGAATCTTGTGAAAGAACAACATAGAAAGGCCTTTGCCGTAGTGCAGTTAACAATGTCACTGTAAAGAAGACAGGAAAGCATGCCTCAGACTCCTCCCTTTTCAGCAATGTTTGACAGCAGTGGTTACAACCGGAACCTCTATCAGTCTGCAGAGGACAGCTGTGGAGGATTGTATTACCATGACAACAACCTCCTCTCTGGTTCTCTGGAAGCGCTTATCCAGCACTTGGTACCTAACGTGGATTACTACCCAGATAGAACATACATATTTACCTTCCTGCTCAGTTCACGGTTATTTATGCACCCCTATGAACTAATGGGCAAAGTTTGCCACTTATGTGTGGAGCATCAGAGGCTAAGTGATCCTGATGGTGATAAGAACCAGATGAGAAAAATTGCACCTAAAATTCTTCAACTCTTGACAGAATGGACGGAAACATTTCCTTATGACTTTCGAGATGAAAGAATGATGAGAAACTTGAAAGATCTGGCTCACAGAATAACCAGTGGTGAGGAGACGTACCGGAAGAATGTCCAGCAGATGATGCAGTGTCTCATCCGCAAACTTGCTGCTCTCAGCCAGTATGAGGAAGTCTTGGCAAAGATCAGCTCCACATCCACAGATCGGCTCACGGTCCTCAAGACCAAGCCGCAGTCCATCCAGAGGGATATCATCACTGTCTGCAGTGATCCATACACACTGGCCCAGCAGCTGACTCACGTAGAGCTGGAGCGGCTCAATTACATTGGACCTGAAGATTTTGTTCAGGCATTTGTGCAGAAGGATCCTTTGGACAATGACAAGAATTGCTTCAGTGAGCGGAAGAAAACACGAAACTTAGAAGCCTATGTGGAATGGTTTAATCGCTTAAGCTACTTGGTGGCTACAGAAATCTGCATGCCTGTTAAGAAGAAACACCGAGCACGAATGATTGAGTACTTCATTGACGTGGCTCGGGAGTGTTTTAACATTGGCAACTTTAATTCCTTGATGGCGATCATCTCTGGAATGAATATGAGTCCAGTCTCACGGCTAAAGAAGACTTGGGTCAAGGTGAAGACTGCGAAGTTTGACATTCTTGAGCATCAAATGGACCCTTCCAGCAACTTCTATAATTATCGAACAGCTCTTCGTGGGGCAGCTCAAAGGTCTTTAACTGCTCATAGTAGCAGAGAGAAGATAGTGATACCGTTCTTCAGTCTCTTAATCAAAGACATTTATTTCCTCAATGAGGGCTGTGCCAACCGCCTTCCAAATGGCCACGTCAATTTTGAGAAATTTTGGGAACTGGCCAAACAAGTGAGTGAATTTATGACATGGAAACAAGTGGAGTGCCCTTTTGAGAGGGACCGGAAGATCCTGCAGTACCTGCTCACGGTGCCTGTCTTCAGCGAAGATGCTCTCTATTTGGCTTCGTATGAGAGTGAAGGACCTGAGAATCACATAGAGAAAGACAGATGGAAGTCTTTAAGGTCGAGCCTCTTGGGCAGAGTTTAACATATGGGACCTGCTGCTGCTGCTGCTGCCGCCGCCGCCGCCGCTGCTGCTGCATCACACAGATCCTGCAAGTGCCGGCTTTTGTCTTCTGGCATCTAGAACTACAAACAACCAGGAGGACTCTGTAGGCCTCAGAGAAAGCTCACTCCAGTGTAATGGGAAGCCCATTTCCCACAACTGACAGACTGACTGACTTTTTTGTGTGTGGGACTGAAATGTTCACTGAAGACACTTGAGAAAGAATCCTCTAAAGATCCCGGCGCAATGCCTGATTCATCTCCTGGAATTTCCACGTGAATCACTGCTCAGCACCGGATGGAGTTTTCTTTTGTGTGTGTGTTTTTATTTGGTTGAACTTTTGCTGCTAATGGGACTTTACCCAGCTGAGTGCTGGCTCTTGGGAAGCCCATGTTCCTTTGTTAATTTAAATGAAAAAGGGAGAGGAGGGAGGGGAAAAAACCCCTAAGTTTAGATCCCAGACCCCCCCACTCGCAGCTTTGCTGGAGAGGGGAACACTGACTGGCTGAGGACTTGACTTTCCTTTAGTGTGTACTGTGTTGTAAATTCCTCTCTTCCCTCTTCCTATGAGGTTTTGAGTTGGCTGCTGGTTAGCAAACTCCTTTTTACCCATATAAGTTATTTAATATAAAAATGAAGCTCAACACTGTGGTAGGAAAATAGCCACTAAGGGAAAAAAGAAAAGCAGAGCTTGTGGTTGTCGGACTGCTCACCTCCCTAGAAGGACTTTTTGTTTCCTTTGCCCTTCTGAGCTGTTTACAACTGACCACTGTGTTCTGCAGATGTATTTTTCAGTACTTTTGTTACTATGTTTTCCATAACACCTGATTTTTTTCTTGTAAATTTAAGTGATCTGACTTTAAGGGTCCTGGAAAAACCCATGGCATCATCACAATTCTTTTAAAAACAGACTGTTAATTTTCATACCTTTTGGAGTCTGTTGGTGACTATGTAAACCAAGAAGAACTTGGAAAAGTTGCCTCCTCCCCCATAGCAGTGAACAAAACTCTGCAAAAACACATTGCTATTGACTCAGTGATTGATTTTAATTGTGAAATAGTTCACCCATGTTAAACATCTAAATAGGTCTGTAGTGCTCTGCAAACAGCTGTCGTGTATATTTACTCTAGGAGAAACTGTAGAGTAGTAATCTGTGCTGACGAAAAAGCAAAACACCGTGTTCCAAACAGATGTACTCGCGAACTTCATGACACGGTTTTGAGAAACAGAGCATGTATGTGTGCTGCGCGTCACCCCAGCAGGCCTAAACTGGCTGCAGTTGTCCCTTTACCACATCAATATATTTTACACTCTGCGGCCAAAAAAAAAAAAAAAAAAAAAAAAAAGAAAGTTTTTCTCTGTAGTTCATTATCTTGAACTGTCTGTGTATCCCAGTTTGGCCTGAGCTTATAGTGATCCTATTGCCTCAGCTCTTGGGTGCTGAGATTGTAAGAATGGGCCACAACACTTAGCCTTCACTGTTTCTGTTTTAATATTAAGTTCTCTGATATATTATGGTTTTATTTTAGTGCATGGTTAGAGATATGGGTCAGTTTCACTCTTTTGCATATGTGTAGCCAGTTTTCCTTAAAGAGGTTCTCTTTCCTATAATGTATGTTTCCTCCAATGTATTAATCGTTTTCAAAGATTAATGTGTCTGGGTTTTTTTCCTGCATTCTCTGTTTTGTTCAATTTATCCATGTATCTGTTTTCATGCCAGTACAATGCTGTTTTTATTACTTGACTTTTGTAGTTTAAGTTGAAATCCTGGATTTTGATGCCTTCCATTTTGCTTTTGTTGCCCAGGATTACTTTTGCTCTTCTGGCTCCATGTGAATTTTAGGATTGTTTTTTCTAGTATTATGAAGAATAATGTTAGTAGTTTAATTAAGATTATATTACATCTATACATCAGTTCTGAAAATATGATTATTCTAACAATATTATCTCTGCCTGTCTTAGTTACTTTTTACTCATCGCTGAGACAAAATACCTGATGCCCAAAGTTGGGAAAGGAAAGGTTTATGTCTTACAGATATTGGAGGTTTCAGTCCATGCTCTGTTGGCTCCAAGGCAGGGTGGCATGGCAGGGCTGCAGTTCATGGTGGCTGCAAACAGCAAGGCAGAAAGTGGCAAGAGAGCAAGACACGCCTTCTTCCTGCCATTACATCACATCCTGGCTCCACCCCTATGTGGGTGAAGCACTGACACCATCAATCCAAGAACTATACAGTGAAACAATCACAGATGCTTAATATAAATGCATGAGGCCTTGGAGCCACTGACATAAACCATGACACTGCCTATTGAGGAATAGGCTGAGACAATATTTTTCCATTTTTTGGAACAAGCAGAGACAATATCTTTCCATTTTTTGGATATTCTCCATGATCTCTTATTTTCAGAGTATTATGATTTTGTTGTAGAGGTCTTTCACTACCTTGGTTAAATTAGTCCTAAGTATTTAACTTGAAGCTTTTGTGAATAGTATTGTTTTCCTAATTTCATTCTTGGTGGATGCATAAGTAACATACAGGAATGCTGTTTATTTTTGGGTGTTGATTTTTTATCATGCTACTTTGATGAATTTATTGATTTTAGGAGTCTTTTTGGTGGAATTCTTGGGGTCTTAAATATAAAAAGAGCATATTTCTGAATAAAGAATTTTTCTTCTTTCTTTCTTTTATATATTCTTATCATTTCTTTTCCCCTCTTGTTTGCCGTAGCTAAAATTTTGGAGTATCTTGAACAGGAATGATGATAGTGGACAACTTTGTTTTACTTTTGATTGTAGAGGAAAGGTTTCAGCTTTTCACATTTCATTGTGATTATAGCAGTAGGTTTTTCATGATTGGCTTTTATTAGATTGAGAAAAACATCCTTCTGTATGTATTTTTCATTAGTTTTTTAAAAAATAATAAATTGATCTTGGATTATGTCAAAGGCATTTTCTGAATCTTTTGAGATAACTGTGTGATTTTTGTGTTTGATTTTGTTTATGTGATGTATTACATTTATTGATTTGCATATATTGAAGCATCATTGCATCCCTGGGATGAAGCCTACTTCGTACAATGTATGATCTTTTTAATGACATTTCTGTTCATTAATGAGAGTGTCCTATACTTTTCTTGTTTGGCTTTGGAATCAAGGTAATGTTAACTTCCAAAATAAATATTTTGTCCTTTAAGTTGATTGTCTCAGGTATTTGGTTACATTGATGAAAAGATAATTGATAGTTATATAATAAAGGCTGTGATTTTTTAGGCAGTAACTTTTCTTGTTCAGCATAATGCCCATCTAAGTTATGTGTATCAATAGTGTATTGATTTTTTTGGGGGGGGGACCAGGAATTGAACTCATTCCGTTGTACTTGCCAGACAGAGCTTATGCCACTGAGCTAAATCCCCAGCACCCACTATTTTAAATTCTAAGAATTTAGTTTCTTGCATTCTTACTAGCATTTAGTATTATTGCTTAATACTTAATACTGCTTATAGCTTAATTTAGCTATTTTAATAGATATACCTTTAAATAGTGACACCTCGTTATGATCTGGATTGCTTTTCCTAATTGCTAGTGATATTAGACATATTTACCTAAGCTTATTTGCCACCCATATATCCTTTTGGGTGAAATGCTTTTTTTTCTATTTTAGCATTGGATTTTTTTTTTATTTAAAGGAAAAAAACAGTATAAGGGTACAAGTAATACAGAATTTAAAAAAAACAGTAAGAAATCGCTAGTTAATAGATTACATATTGTCATCTTAGAAATAGTTGTTCAAGTTACAGGATTAAAGCATACAAAGTGGACATTCAAACAGTGAGACTGCAAACAGTTGTGTTCAATGATCCAAAAAAACCTCAGTAATATGGTCATCTATCTTACACACCTAAACACACTTGCAGTTGTATCCTTTAGAGCACTTTTTTTACCTCTCTTTTTTACAACAACATTTACACATTTTGAGTTTTATTACTCCCACTGTTCTTATTACTTTTTTTTGGAAGAGAATAAAACCAAATATGACAAAACAAAGGAGTCAGTCAAAACAAACGATGGACGTAGCACATGACGTAAAAACAGAATACAAGGTAATCAACATTGGTTACTGTAATGCCTCTTGCTACCTTAAAAAGAAGTGCCTATATCATTAGGTATAATAAAATTGAACAAAACAGTACAGAACAAGACCAATAAAACCTAAGCATTAGAGACATTACAGGACTTCAAAAGAAGATAATAGTCAATCCAGAATGGGCATCATAGTGAATCTTATTGCCTTTAAAGTAGTTGCCTATACCCTCAAACTTGATACTATCAAACAGAACAGAACAGAGTAAAATCAGTCAAAACATGATGGTGCGAACAATACTGAGCTTCAAATCAAGTTAGTAGGAAATTTAAAAAGTTACCATAATATACCCTGCTATTTTTTTGATTTTTTCCCTTAATGAAAACAATAATAATAAAAAATAAATAATTTTTTTTAAAAAGGGGAGATTGAGATAAAAGAGGACATAACAACATAACAATATAGGTCAAAGCATAACAATTTCAGCAACCTAGTACTTCACTACAAGATAACCTGACTTAATAGTGGTTACCATAGTGTCTCTTTCCTTGAAATATTTGAGTATAACTTTGTATACTATGGCTTCAGACGTATCAAAGCAGTGTGAAACCATTCAGGAGGATGAAAATACAGGGTATTTAGAACCAGCTAACAGAAAACGAAAAATGTTTTCTATATTATCTCTTTGCCTATAAAATTTTTTGTTTATACTATGACATATAATAAAATCCAGTAAGATACAACATGATAAAACCAATGGAGACAGAAGAACAACAGTTTGGTGGGACTTCAAAACAAGATGATATTAAATCAGCACTAGCTATTATGATGTCTTGTTTTCTTCAAAATAGCTGTTCATATCATCATAGCAATAATAGCAAACAGCCCAGAATAAAGCCAAACCAATTAATGAGTGAAAACTTTATAGGGATTCAAAGCCACATAATGGGGAATCATGATTACCACGTACTTTTATATATTTGAATCATTTCTTACAATAGGGAAACAATTCGGGATTCATACATATGAATTTTTAAAAAAAATTTTTTTATTTAAAGAGAAAAACAAAACTAAACCAAGCAAAACAGTAAAAGGCTAGAAGTAATACAGAATTTCAAGAGAAAAAATATACAGTAAGAATTCACCAGTTAATAGATCACATATTGTCATCTTAGAAACAGTTGTCCAGATTACAAAATTAAAGCATACAAAGTGGACATTAATACAGTGAGATTGCAGTCAGTTCTGTTCAATGATCCAAGAAAAACTTAACAACATGGTTCTCTATTGTACACATTTAAATATACTTGCAGTTATATCCTTTAGATCACTTTCCTTCCTCTCTTTTTTACGCTAACAGTTACACATTTTAGTTTCCATTATTCCCACAGTTTTTATAACTTTTTCTTTGAAGAGGAAAAGAAAAAAGATTAAAAAAAAGCCAAAAAACAAAACACAAAACAAAACAAAACAAGATGGACCAAAGAAAAACCCAATGTGACAAAGCAAAACAGAGTCAGTTAGATCAGGAGGATGCACATAGTATATAATGAAAAAAAAAAAAAAAAGGATTACTAGGTGATCAACAATGGTTACCATTATGCCTCTTGTTATCTAAAAAGAGTAGCCTATGCCAGCTGGTATAAAAGAATTGAACAAAACTGTACAGAAGACCAATAAAACCCACATTGGAGAGCTTACAGGACTTCCAAAGAAGATAATAGTCAAACAATAATGGGCATCATAGAATACCTGGTTGCCTTCCAAATGGTTGCCTATACCCTCAAACTTGATACTATTAAGCAAAACAGAATATAACAAAATCAGTCAGAACAAGATGTGGAGAACAATACAGGAGTTCAAATCAGGTTAACAGGGAAACAAAAAAGTTACTATAATCTATCGCACTATTTTTAATGTAGTTTTCCCTTAC